ACAAAACCCCATTGATATCAACGATATTGTATATCTTGTTGTTTATCTCCTCTTCGTAGATCTTATTTATAGGACTATAAGAGAAGCATAGATTAACTTTGATAGCAGTAAAGTTTTATCAAACCCAAATAAAATCCATGCTTGCATGGTTAGACATTCATGTGTAAAAGCATGAGTGCTAGGTTATCCAAAGATAGCCATAATTATCCGTAGACGAAACTTGACATTCATGTATATTGTCAATCTGCTAGTGTGCTGGTACCTTCTAGTAGCCCATTAACTTGGGATGCAAGGTTTAAAGAGGGATAAGCTTCTCTTGTTCACATAGTCATTTACTATTTATAGTGGTGTCATGTGCGACTTGTTGAAGTGGACTCCTGGCATCTTTTCGAAGATGTGATATATCTTTATCCATAATCATGTAGATTAATACGACAGTACTTGAATTGTCTTTGCTTGAGCAGACTTAAGATTGATAAAAAGTCCCACGGGCACGATACACCTACAAGCGGTGGATCACTCAATTACCAATCGATGAAGAACGGCTAGCTACGATAACCGGTGCGAATCGCAAGATACGCCGAGCACTTGAACTTCGCACATTGCGGCTTTCAGTTTATTCTGAAGTCACATCTGTCTGAGAGTTGAGAAGATTAAATTACTAACTATCACATAGATAGACAAGGGCTCTGTCTATCATGTATAGGATGACCGGATGGTCTATGCAATGGTTTCTACTACTCTGCTATGACTTAGTTCACATACGGCTTCGTAATATTTTAATCCTGGCTTGGTCAACTGGATACAAGCCTAGTAAGGAGTTTATAGATGGTGCATGGTGGTTGTGTATTGTTAAATACATCAACAGCCACAGAACAGGGATGTTGGAATATATTTCACTGGCAGGGGATACCTGAGAATGCTGGTCAATCTGCCGACGCTCAAGTCGAACAGCGGATTAACATGACCCGAAGAAAAGGCTTCTCATTATAAAGGATCTCGTTTGTTACATAAAGGTGAATTATAGTCTGTTGGTTTCTTGTTGTAATACCATATAACATATATATAACTTGTTAGTAGCGCATGTATCCTCTCCATTATCAAGCAATAGTTTGGATCTTTCAAACCTCTTAACTGATCTCAGATCAGGTGAGGTTACCCGCCGAATTTAAGCATATTATTCAGCGGTGGAAAAGAAATCAAACGAGATTCCCTTAGTAACGGCGAGTGAAAGGGATGAGTCCGGCGCAAAGGTTTTCCATCGAAAGGTGGAAAGCGGTGCTGCGTAATGGTTAAAGTTATGATGCTTTCAATCAGATCTGTAAGTCCCTCTGACAAGGGCTCTTTACCCAAAGACGGTTCTAGGCCGGTAGCAGATTCTGATAATTGAAATGTCAATTATTAACTTGTACCGCGGATAGAGTCAGATTGCTTGAGAGTGCAATCCAAATTGGGAGGTAAACTCCTCCCAAGACTAAATACGATGGTAATATCGATAGCAAACAAGTACCGTGAGGGAAAGTTGCAAAGTACTTTGAAGAGAGAGTTCAAAAGGACGTGAAACCGCTTGTAGTGAAACGGATAGAACCACGAAGTGTAGCTAAGAGGAGAATTCAGCTTCTCTTGTGCACTGTGGCTTGTTTCATATGCTTGTCTTGAATGCTTTACAGTGTTCCAAGATCAGTAGACTTGGAAACTCTTTGCCTTGGATCATGGCATCATATTTGTAACTATGACCACATTGCATGAGAAGTGCATTTTCTTACACTCTTGTGCTCAAACCGCGACTAATGTGAGGGTTACCTTCGGGTTCCCACTCTCGTGATATCAGTAGGTGTACTAACCATACATCAATACTGAGTTTTCACAGCCACTGATTCTTGCAAGTTTCAGACTTGGCCTGTGAGCTTGTATTGGTAACTGCTGTATCATGTTCACATTAGGCTGAATCTCTACTTAATTGTAGTGTTAGTGCATTGGAACATGCTGACGGACCCAGTTAATCTTTCGTCGATGAGACCTGTTTCTTCACCTAGTGTTGAAACAACTTATGGATTGATTGACTCTTGGCAGTCTGTTGATGGCTTCAATGTATCTCTGACTTGATTCGGCGGTCAGTAGATCGGTAATCTATCCGACCCGTCTTGAAACACGGACCAAGGAGTCTATATATGCAAGCTGATCAGTCTTGAGATAGAGAGGCGTATTGAAAGAAATTGATGTGATGGAGTATAGACTTGTCTATATTTTCCCGCAACATCAACCCATGTTGTATCCACTTACCGTGATTTTCATGGGTTCTAGTATATACTAGTACCCGAAAGATGAACTAAGCCCGGACAAGATGAAGCCAGAGGAAACTCTGGTGGAGGTCTGTAGCGATTCTGACGTGCAAATCGATCGTCAGATCCGGGTTTAGGGGCGAAAGACTAATCGAACCGTCTAGTAGCTGGTTTCTTCCGAAGTTTCCCTCAGGATAGCTGGCACCAGCGGAAGTAAACACAGTAGCATCCGGTAGAGCGAATGATTGGAGGTCTTGGGGACGAAATGTCCTCAACCTACTCTCAAACTCCTAATGGGTGCGAAGTTCAACTTGTTAAAAAGCTCGATCTATGGTAGTAAAACACCGTAGCATCATAAAGCTGAACAGCTTGTATGATGGTGCCCAGTGGGCCATTTTTGGTAAGCAGAACTGGCGCTGTGGGATGAACCAAACGTTAAGTTATGGTGCCCAATACAGACGCTAATGAGACACCATGAAAGGTGTTGGTTGCTAAAGACAGCAGGACGGTGGCCATGGAAGTTGGAATCCGCTAAGGAGTGTGTAACAACTCACCTGCCGAAGCAACTAGCCCTGAAAATGGATGGCGCTCAAGCGTTGAACCTATACTTGACCGTCAGCAACCACAATACATGAAGAGAGCATGTATGCCTTGACGAGTAGGAAGAATGTAGTGATACCGTCGAAGGTGTCTGACGTAAGTCAGCCTGGAGGTATCACTATTACAGATCTTGGTGGTAGTAGCAAATACTCAAGTGAGACCCTTGAGGACCAATGTGGAGAAGGGTTCCATGTGAACAGTAGTTGAACATGGGTCAGTCGGCCCTAAGCGATGGGAGAAATCCTACCAAAGTCCGTAGGTTTAACTACCTTACGTTGTCTGCGGTGTTTCGCGAAAGGAATCTGGTTAATATTCAGAACCTGACTTGGGAGAGTTGCTCTTGTTATTTATAGCAGAGTATATGCGGTAACAAACCCATATGGAGATGTTTCCAAAAGTCCTGGGGAGAGTTGTCTCTTCTTGTTAAGGTGCCAAGTCCCTGGAATCGGTTTAACCGGAGATAGGGATTTCGGCACCGTAAAGCACCGCGGCTCTTGCGGTGTCCAGAGCACTTTTGGAAACCCTTGAAAATCCATATGCGAGACTCATAAATTTCCAGTCAGACCGTACCCATATCCGCATTTATTTTTTTTTATTAGTAAATAGTTCCAGAGTCCGAAGACTCTTTCACGGTTTATTTGAATTATAAATCATATTGACTCTGTCCATTACCGACAGAGAATCGTACATAGTTAGATTTGTTAGTATACATAATGATAATTGGTGGGTATACAAAGGAACTGATTTGTTTTGAATTCGAAAGGGTGGGGGATATATATGGGGATTTACAATTGTCGAGTCATTTGACTTCGACCTTGTTGATTACAATTTTGCATACAGCATTCAATTTGTTTCTGCCTGATTATATTGGAAATTGATTAAAATACATAATTTTCTATATTGTTTAAAAAACATTGTTGCTATTCATAATAAAATTTTGGCAGTTTTTGATCAAAATCAGTTCATACATTGTTTTCTTATTGTTTCTTTTTCTTTTTGACTTCGGTGACGTCGCCTTCCTCTGGGTTAGCCGCTGGGTGGAACAACTTTTCCTTGTTGTGGGATTTTTTCATCTTTTTCTTTTTACGTCCACCTTCGGATGAGTTCGGCGAAATAATTTGCTCAGCATTTGCTTCAGCACAGGGGGCTGACTCGGCGAGGTCTTCTCCATCCTTTTCTTTATCTTCACCTTTGTCAGCATTGAAAGCTGGCTCTACGAAGTCTTCTCCATCCTCTTCTTTGTCTTCTTCTTTCTCAGCACAAGCGCCTTCAGCTTCCGATTCCTGAATGTCTGAGTGCGATGACTGCGAATCATCATCAAATCTTCGACGCATTTCCTTTAGCTTGATTTCTTCAAGCTCAATCCAACATTTCATTAATCGCTTGTAAACCTTGCCAGGAACATTGTTGATTTCCATTTTTATTTTGCTTTTGTCTTCGTCACTTGCATGTTTGAGCTGCAAATGCTCGTCGAAGGCTTCTTCACGTCCAATCATATCAAGGCATTTGTTACACCAGATAAGTTTTTGAAGACTTTTCTGCTTATGCTTCGGTAAGCCATGTAGATCCTTGATGATGCCGAAGTCTTTCTTAGCTTCGATGTGAAGTTGCTGAACTTGTTTTCCAACACCTTCTATTTCTTGTTGTAAAATCGAGAAGTTTCCAGTGAGTTCTTTCACCTTTGCAGTGAGCGCACTAACTTGCTGGTTCATCTCGACCATAGAGGTTTCCATTGGGTTGAAGGTTGGATGACTCGGCGATTTTTTAGCATTCGGCATCTTGTAAATTTGACTGCGTTATTGATGACCAAATAGTTTCACAACACTAGCACTTGTTAAAATTTTGACTTCGATGAGTTGATTTGTGGGTTGATTATTGCACTTTAGAGACGATGATGTTCGAAGTTAACTGGCTTCGAAGGTTGACGAATGATGTTGGGTTCGTAGAAGGATGACTTCGGAACAGTAACAAGGATGTGACGTGAACTAGTTGAACTGTGAGTTACAACTGAGGATTATTTGTTTCTTGTTCTGTATTTATACATTTTTGGTTGCGCCCCCTGGTGGTGAAGTTTATTTTAGTTACTGAGACAGACGGTAGGGTTTATTGTGTAAGAGT